GGGCAAAATTTTAAAACTAAAAGTTTCCAGAGACCAAGATTAAAACAAATGCAGATAAGACAGGAGAATGCTTTGAAGAAAGTCCCAATTAGCTCGTACTGTTGGGGCCCATTGCCTGGGTTCCTTTTGCTGAAGTGAAAAGCTTAATAGTTGAAGGCACATCCAGCAAATGCGTAGTCTTCTGCAATTGAAATGTCGGCATTTTCTTGTACAGATCAGGTTTTGTAGGAGTGAGAAGGTTCTTTGTTCTTCACAAGTTATAGATGGGAGAGGATTATCTAAACGATTCTAGGGCTTTTGATGATTTGATATTTCAGAGATTAAAAGGTTGTGAGCTGCATATTTTTGATGCTGCAGGAACTGTTTTGGGCTCAAACTAGAGCCCACACTGAATGGAATCTAAAGCCCTCCCCGATGGTGGGTTTGGTGGGTTGGGGTGGCAGTGGGGGTAGGCAGGCAACCCTCTCACCTTCCCATTTCAGCCCTGATTAATTTCTTGGCCCGTGGATGTTTTTCCTGTCCTGCCGTCAATAGAGGACTTGCAGTGATATCAAACCCAGAAGCCCTCCATGTGGGCAACATGATAATCAAAGCTGTGTGGGGCAGCTTGTAGACCTCCATGTAGAGGTAGGGTTGACCGGGTCACTCTTTCAAAGGTACTCGGAGACTGATTGAGAAAACAAGCATTGGAATAGGGATGTCCACTGAGAACCGTCCCCTTGCTGTGCCAAACTCCATCACTCTCCTCCACAATGCCCATCTCATGGATCTCCTCCTGCAATTACTCAGCTGTGGCCTGGGGATGATGATCCTGGGTGCCGGGTAGATTGTCTCACTGGCAGTAACCACTGTCTCCCTGGCGATGCTGCCATTCAATGTCTCTGCCAGCCTCTAATTAGCTGGAAGCCTTTTGCAGTTTTGTGACCCTTGATCTGATGGAAAGGCCATTTCTGTCCAGTTATGTACCCGAGTGGCACTCAGTTTGGTGGGCCTTCCTTAAAGGAGGTTGCAAAGTACTCCCATCATCTCTCTCCTGCTGAGTTGAGTGACTCCCGTCACCTCCATTAAATCCAGTCCTGTGGGCATTCTTCTCAGGCTGCAGCAGATACCATTTTGGTGAGTCAACTGCAGTGCAGGTAGAGGAGGTATATTTACACTGATGTTTTAGTCAGTAACACTGATTTGATTCTGATACTGCCATTTCAGACCCAAACGCTCCAGTTAAAGCTTTGTCTTGATCTTACATGTCTATGCATCCATCCATAGGAAGGAGCCTTCCCCAACCAGCACTCTGTACAGGAGCACTAGGCCAGGTCAAGGTACGCAGATGGTCGGGACCAATGGGATGCACAAGGCTGATTTGTTTGCTTTTGGGAGAGAAACTGGATGGTTTTGATTGAGAAAGTTGATTTGGAATTTTTCTTCTGTATTGGCCTTTTTTTCAGCATTGTGGCCACGGGGGCTCTATGCTGCTCAGTGATGGAGCTGTGGGAGTGGTAGTGAAAGAGGAATTGGTGTACTGAGCTAATCATCTCCTCAGCATTCACTAGGTCCTGTCTTTCTCCCTCCTCTTCCTCAGCTGTTTGTCATAGACCTGGTGTTGAGATTTGGGGCCCCTTAAACCTTTGTTAACCCCGCATTCCATATTTGGCATTTCCTGAATCACATTAGTACCTAACTTGCTGCATACGTAAATTAATCTCTATATGGAAACAGAGGAGGTTATTGGAATCATCAAAGTTTTGACTCGAGTGTTACCACATTCCATTGTCAATGCAGTGTCTCAAAAATATGAAAGTTTTTGTCTGAGAAAGAATGAAAATTGACCTTTAAATGGAGGTGGGCATGGGGATTACATTCATCTGACTCATGAATAGCTGTCCAATCACATTTGCCATGAGGGGTCAGACAGGCAATTGTCACGTCATTGATGGTCAGATCACAAAATAAGGAATATTAACAGGGGACAGGTCAGGAAGGAGCAAGAGGAGCCAGCGAGATGAGCCACACCATCTCCTTGGGGAAGACTAGGAGTTCCCTCTATCAGGGGTGGCATAGTAGCACAGAGTTAGAACTGCTGCCTCATAGTTCCGGGGATGTGGGTCTGGGTGGAATGTTCTTTGGAGGGGCGGTGTGGACTCAATAGGCCAAATAACTTGCTTCCACCCTGTTGGGATTTTGAGCCTGAGGGAACAACAAAGACTGTTGGTACCAAGAGACTACCAAAGAGACCAGCACAAACTGGCATAAGACCACTGGGACATGGGAGTGTGCTGCCTGTACTCAATTCTACAGAGTGGCTCTGGGACTGGTAAAGCGTTCTTATCCTTCATGAGTTGTGTGCTTCCTTTCTTTATCTAATTAACTTATGTACCGTATCAAAATTGCTGCTTCTCAATAAACTAACGGAAAATTAATGTGAATCGTTCGGCTGCCTAACTGTGATCACAAACCCCTGAAAATCATTCACTGGTGCAGAGAGTTGAAATCTCATGATGTGCAGGGATGCAGCATGACTTTGTTGAATCTTGATCTCCTCTCTGCTGCAATGTTGTATGACTCCCTGGAACAACCTGGCAATGGGAGCATTGCTTAAGCACCCCAATGGTCAATATTTGATGTGGGAAGATGGGAAGATTGGAATCTCTTGAAGCAGTGTGCTCACTTCCCCTGCATTTCTCTGCGAAGAGACAATAAGTGTATTCAATTATCTTTGCATAAGAAGCCTCATTGACATCCAATGTGCAACAATGATTGGCACACCGGGAGATGTTTTAAATATCACCTGCTTCAGCTTGGAAGGAGCCAGGTGCATGAGTGTTTATAGCCACAGTCACCCTCACTGCTACTGACAATGTGGTTCTTGCCCCCTTCTGCTATTTTTCATGATGATGTATCAGAACCTCAGAAGTTTTTACCAAATATTTTTAACTTTTAATTCCAGAATGTGTGTTTTTTTTAAGAAGACACCTACAGAAAAAGGAAATAAAAAAAGTGGATTCTGTTGCTGTTCTGGCCAAGTCCTATGGAGGACCCATGGAATGTCACACTTGCAGAGTCTCAAGGAAACTTCAAACAGTAAGACAGACATATTGGGAATAGATCACCAAGGGCCTGACTATCTTGCCCCTCCCAGCAACAGCCATGTTTTGCAGACCTTTTGTGTGCTGTCCTTCCAGAAAAATAAGGATAAAAGCTGATTGCAACCCTGTTCTAGTGGAAGTAGGTATGTTTGTGGAAAAAGGTGTGTTAGTGAAAAGAGGCGTCTGTGTGCACTAGCCTGGGTCTGCCCGCTAGTGTGTTGTGAAGATCACAGCTGAAGCACCAGCCATGAAAAGCCTCTCTGTTGCATGTGAAGGCACTCCCTCACTCTGAGTGCTAAAGCAAATTAGCTCGCAAACCAGTCAGAAGGAAACAGTATAACAAGGACTCTCACTCTGAGTGCTATTTGCCCACCACTGACAAATGAAAACAAGACAAAACGATTTCAACCTGCAAAGGTCAAGATACTCCAAATCAATTGTTCCTCTATCTACAGATCACAAACAATTCGGAGAGATGGATTGGTTTATATTTTAGCTTTCCTTGGACCCACTATTTACTTGCACTCGTTACTTATATGAATGATTCCTTTAACTTAGTCTGTGCCAAGGTCCTCCCTGCATGTTTAGCTGTGTGTGTTTGAGACAGAACACTGGATATGGAGTGGAGCACCAAAATGACAATGCAGATTTCACACTGCTTGGTGTCATGATCTGTCTATTCTGTATCCTTCTGGCGTCCGTTGTCTATTTGAAAATTAATACCTGAGCTATTTGACATTGCTTGTATCAGAAGTGTGCATACAATATGTAAATGTCAATTTTTAATCAAAAGTGCTCAACGTATAGGTGCTATGGAACTGAATTTTGCAACTTATAAATCTTAGTCTATAATTAGAGTGGCATGGTGGCTTAGTGGTTAGCACTGCTGCCTCCCAGCGCTAGGAATTGGAATTCGATTCCATCCTCGGGCAACTGTCTGTGTGGAGTTTGCACATTCTCCCCATGTCTGTATGGGTTTCCTCAGGGTGCTCCAGTGTCCTCCCACAGTACAAAGATGTGCAGGTTAGGTGGATTGGCCATACCAAATTGCCCATAATGTCCAGGGATGTGCAGGCTAGGTGTATTAGCCATGGGAAATGCAGGGTTACAGGGATAGGGTAGTGAGGTGGATCTATTTGGGATGCTCTTCAGAAGGTCAGTGTGGACTTGATGGGCCAAATGGCCTGCTTCCACACTGTAGGGATTCTCAACTTATCTAATGCTAAGTACTATGATTTTAAGAGTCTAGAATTATAAAACAAGCTGGCTGTAAGATTCTATAATGTCAGAACTATGATTCTAATCCCCTACAGGTCCTTAATTCTGAGCCTCTATGATTCTATCATTCTCCAAAACTAAAAGTCTATGATTATGAGGTGCTATGAGACATAGGTTCAAGTCCCACCTGCTCCAGTCTGTATCAGATTTTTGCATTTTTAGATTTTAGATTTTATTGTCACGAGCAGTAAAATACAGTAGTACCGTGCAAAGTGTATAATGTTGCTACACATTGCACCATCTTAGGTACCAAGATACCTAGTTTCAAAAAAAGCTTAGGTACAAAGTAGTAAGGGAAACGAGAGTTAAAAAGTTAAGCATTACCTCATAGAATATTAGAAAAAAATTGGCAATATTTTACAGTAAAGTTGCAGTTTAAACTTGAAAAACCAAGGAATAAAAAGTTTTAAAAAATCTCTGAACAAATTGATTAGAAAACGTCTATAATTGAAGATAATTATTCTAAGGCCGCAAATATTCTATCATTTTCAGCTTAGAAGAGTGTCATTCTAAAACTGCACACTCCAAAGTTCTGGAGGAATAGTTTTAAGATTGCCAGACGCTCTGGGTTTTTTTTCCCTTCTTATGATCTCGCGTGGTTACCCGGGATTTGAGTATTTAATACTGGGGAAATATTGTTTGAACATCTGCTTTTTTTTTGCACACTGAGCTGCAGTGTTCAGACTGTGTGCTGTGCGTCCCCACTCTGAGTGGCAGCTGCTACGTACCTGGCGTTCCACCGCTACACAGACAGCATGGTGATTAAAGTCTTTATCGCATCCTCCTCCGGTTCCAAAGCGGTAAGAATACACTCTGGAAGCAGAATTTGCAGACTATTCTTTACATTATGCAGAAACAAAAAAAAAGCTAAGAAACGTATAAAAGTTAAAAATAAAATTCCCCAAGAGGATTAATTGGTTTGAGTTAAACATTTGCAAGTGATTTATTCAGTGATCGTTCAAGCATCGGGGCATTGTTAAATATTTAGGGATTTGAGATTGTTGTGACTTCTCCCCTGTTGAAACATTTCCTTTTAAGATTACAATTTCTTGGTCATATTCTAATTTCCCTGAATAGCTTTGATTTGCTGCAAAAGCGATATTGCATTTACGAGTCGTAGAATTTAACCCTGTATATGTGGAGAGTAGCTCATTGCAGCGCCTGGTCTGATCCGCCAGTCTAAGGGCTACAGCAGCTGGCCGTGGAGTAGGTGATTTAAATGACCCTGATGGGGGTTTGCTCTGCTGTTTTGTTTTCAAAACCGATTAACCAAGATGGAGCACGCCGTGGAAGATCTCCGTAAAATATAGTGTTTTAGTAACCAGGAAATCCCAGGTCCAGGTGGACTTCACAAAATGCAATAGGGGCTTTAAGACAAGGCAGAAACTGACTCGGAACCATCAATCCTCTGGAGAAAATGGCCTAATTTAGTTATGTTTGTACTTTGTTTTGTTCGATGTCTCCAGTCTTTACCTGATCTCGGACGTCCATCCAGGAACTAAATATATGAGAAGCTCTTAAGTTTTTGCAGACTTGAGCAGTTTAGTGGGGAGTCATGCATTTTGTAATGCAGGTTATTCAGGCGGACTGTAGAGGAGTCCGTGCCCTGAAAAGTTCAAATAGCTTCTGTGCCAGAGTTTACTTGACTTGCCTGTTGTAGCTGCTGTCTTCTTGGTCCCACTGTTTTGAGCTGTCAGCCTGATTTTTAACGAAATTGACTTAAAGTACCAGTTAGTGTATATATATATATATAAAAGTATCTATTCTCTGGTTGATGGAAAACATTTAATTCCTCAAAGCCTGTGGAAGCATAAATTTGAGGAATTAATTAATTTGGAGTGGTTTACAATAAAAAAATGGAAAAGCCTTGCCCTCAGATCATAATATATAGTCAGTAAGGTATAAAGGTAAAGTCACTAGCCTTCACATAGGGCTGCTCTCTCATTGGAGAGAGATGACTGGTGATGGTTTAACCTGAGGGTTACCATACCTCAGGTGAGGGGAGAGGTTGAGAAGGAGAGTCCTTCATGGTAACCTCAGTCGATGCAGGAATTGAATCCACACTCTCGGTGTCAGCAGGCTAAGCTGTCCATCCCCCACCAAACCCCCTCCATTTAGCCAGTATGTGAGCTGTAATAAAGCTACACTCCCCTCCCTTTGTATGTACTCAGGTCTGTAAGTTTCTGTCTTTCACAGCTCACAAATCAGACCCATCTTTGGATAGTGTTAAAGCACCTTTCAACATCTATCTGAGATTGCAGGGATTACTGATATTTCCCAGTGCTGGTTGGAGTTAGTTTTGACAGTCCACATGGGAGGCTTTTGCTCATTGGGATTTTACAATTAAGTGATAATGTATTTATGGAGATTAAAAGTCCTGCGCCTATTCATCCTTATATGTAATTCTTTGACTCCTGATTTAACCAGCAAGCATTCTGTGGCAGGTTTACAGGTAATTTGTTCATTTCATGTCATCCCTATTACCATAGTGGGACAGATATCTAACAATGATGACTCAAAATACAGAAGGGACATAGAGAGCTTGGTGACGTGGTGCAATGAAAACAATCTGTCTCTCAATGTCGGTAAAACTACAGAACTGATCGTCGACTTCAGAAAGAAAGGAGGAGAACACGCCCCCCATCAACATCAACAGAACTGAGGTTGAGAGAGGGAAGAGCATCAAGTTCCTCGGAGTGACAATGACTGATGACTTGTCCTGGACTTCCCACATAAATGCAACAGTTAAGAAGACACAACAACACCTCTTCTTACTCAGGCGGCTCAGGAAATTTTGCACATCCATAAGGTCCCTCACCAACTTCTACAGATGCACCATTGAAAGCATACTGTCTGAGTGCATAATGGCCTGATACTGCCTAGGCCAGTAAGAAACTACAGAAGGTGGTGTGCACAGCCCAGACCATCACAGAAGCCGATCTTCCGTCCATGGACTCTACTTACACGGCTCACTGCCGCGGAAGGGCTGCCAACATTATCAAAGACCCATTGCACCCTGGTAATGATCTCCTACAACCTCTTCAGTCAGGCAGGAGATACAGAAGCTTGAGCACACACGAGCAGGTTAAGGAACAACTTCTTTCTGGCCGTTATCAGACTGCTGAATGGACTCTAGCCTCAAATATGTAACCTGTATGCCTCTAAGTCTTTTTGATCTGTACATCCTTTGCTTGCTGTAATCTGCCTGTACTGCTCGTAAACAAAGCTTTTCACTGTATTTTGGTACATGTGACAATAAAATCAATCAAAAATAAACTTTGCTATTGGATTTTAAAGCAGCACTTTCATTTTGTCATAATGAAAAGAAGCAACTTACATTTATATAGCATCTCTCACAACCTCACGAAAATGTGTTGCATCCAATGAAGCACTTCCAATGAAGTGTAGTCACTCTTGCAATGAGGGAAACACCAATTTTCAGGTGGTCAGCATCCACACACAACAATGATGTGAATAAACAAAAACCGAAATTACTGGAAAAGCGCAGCAGGTCTGGCAGCATCTGTCTCACTGGACATGAAACATTAACTCTGATTTCTCTCCACAGATGCTGCCAGACCTGCTGAGCTTTACCAGCAATTTATGTTTTTGTTTCTGATTTCCAGCAGCAGCAGTTTATTTTTAATTATGGTGAATAATAGGTAATCTGTTTTAGTGATGTTAGTTCAGGGATGACTATTGGTCAGATCTTCCCTGCCCTTCCATAGAATCTTTCCTCATCCAGCTGAGAGTTCTGACAGCACTTTGGCTGACATCTCGCAAGAACATTAGTTTTTCCCAACAATGTAGCACTCCCTGATACTGTTTAAGGGTGTCAGCATTTAATTATGCGTTCAAGTTTTCGGAATGGGGCTTGAACCTGCCATTTTTGACTGTCAAAACTAATTGCAACTAGTGCTGGTAAATATTAGTAATCCCTGCAATCTCAGATCGATGTCAAAAGGTGCTATAGCACCAGCAAAGAAAGGCAGGCTCGATGCTGCTGACACCCTGACCAGTAGTTATTCTGTTACAGTGATGTTAGTTCAAGGTTATCTGGTTATTCTACTCAATGTTGTTGGTAAAACTTGACCGTGTTCAGATTGTTTCCATGCTTTACAATAGTGACCACATATGAAAAGTACTGATAAATAGCTGTACAATTCCTCTTTCACCCTTATCACTTTGATCCCACCGCTCCCCCCCCCCCCCCCCCCCCCCCACCCCCCCCACAACCGTGGCCTGGTGCTCTACTAAAATATTTTACTTAAAGATTGAAATTAGTTGGAGAGAAGGTGCATTCATGTTGAGGTACCTTCTCTGTGTCTTAACTTGCTTTAAAGACTGCTGCTGTTCTCAGCTGGTAGGCTTCTCCATGTCCCTCCAGCTTCAAGAGTCTACCCATCATCCTTACTTGAACAGGAACGTTTTTCCATGCCCAACTAAGGGTACATTCCAGTCAAAATCAATCACAGCAAGTGTTTGTTTCTTCCTGGGCATGGGTTTGAGATTGGGCACCAGCTGATTCCTGTTTCCTGTGTGACAATCCAGCCTGAAGGTGCCTGTGGTGCAGTGGTGGTGTCCCTACCTTTGGACCAGGAGAAGTGGGTTCAAGTCCCAACAGCTCCAGATGTGTGCAAGAACATCAGTGAGTGGTTTGATTAGGAAAAATAGCTTAAAATCCAGCCTGTAGAGGAACTTAGGCAGATGGGCTGAGTAAAGTGGGGAAAACCTGCCTATTAGAGTAATATATGTCGATGAGAGATTGTCCAGTTTGTAATAAGAATAGAAAAACGATACTATTGAAATGGTGAGAGATGCCAGAATGCCGCATTACACATGGATGTGTGTGTCCTTGTAGGCGAATCGCAAAATGTCAGCTTGCAAGTACAGCAAGTAATTAGGAAGGCAAAGAGAATGTTGCTTTCTATTGCAAGAGGAATGGAATGTAAACGTAGCGAAGTCTTGCTGCAACTATACAGAGCACCGGTGAGACGACAGCTACAGCACTGTGTCTGGCTTTGGTCTCCTTACTGAAGGCAAGAATATAACTGCATTGGAAGCAGTTCAGAGAAGGTTTCCTGGGTTGATTCCTGCAGTGAAGGGGTTGTGTCATGAACAAAGGTTGAACAGATTGGACATTACTTGTTGGAGTTTAGAAGAATGAGAGGCAATCTTATGATTCTAAGTGGCCTTGACAAGGTAGATGTTGAGAGGGAGTCTAAGGTTTTAGAGTAGATTGGGTTGTGGGGGTTGTGGATGTTGTGGTTAGTTGTCCGCAGACGTTTCACAACCCTGCCGGGTAACATCGTCAGTGTAGCCTTTGATGAAGCGCTGTTGTGTTTCCCTGCCTGTTATTTGAACTCTGGTGTCTGTCGGGCTGGATTATCCCACTTCTGGTTTTCCTTTGCAATGGAGTGTATATTGGGTTGACTCTATGTGTTTATTGATGGCTTTCTTAGTGGAGTACCAGGCTTCTAGGAACTCCTGTGCTTGCCTCTGCTTTGCTTGTCCAAGGATCCTGGTGTTGTCCCAATCAAATTGGTGGTTCTCCTTATCCATGTGGATAGAGATGAGTGTGTACTGGTCATGTCTTTTTGTTGCCAATTGATGTTCGTTACTCACTCATCTCTATCCACATGGATAAGGAGAACCACCAATTCGACTGGGACAACACCAGGATCCTGGGAGAGGCAAAGCAGATACAAGCATGGGAATTCCTAGAAGCCTGGTACTCCACTAAGAAAACCATCAATAAACACATAGAGCTCAACCCCAAATTTACTCCACTGTGAAGGAA